CCGGTTAATTTTTTGTATTTTTAGTAGAGACAGGGTTTCACCATGTTAGCCAGGATGGTCTCGAATTTGTAGTCTTTCATCCCTCACCCCCTTCCCACCCTTTCCCCCAGAGTCCCCAAAGTTCATTGTGTCATTCTTACACCTTGGCATCCTCATAACTTAGCTCCCACTTATGAGTGAGAACATACAATGTTTGGTTTTCCATTCCTGAGTTACTTCACTTAGAATACTTGTCTCCAGCTGGGCGCAGTGGCTCACGCCTGTAATACCAGCAATTTGGGAGGCCGAGGCAGGCAGATCATCTGAGATCACGAGTTTGAGACCAACCTGGCCAACATGGTGAAACTCCGTCTCTACCAACAATGCAAAAATTAGCCGCACGTGGTGACAGGCACCTGTAATCCCAGCTACTCAGGAGGCTGAGGCAGGAGAATCACTTGAACCTGGGAGGCAGAGGTTGCAGTGAGCTGAGATTGCACCATTGCACTTCAGCCTGGGGGACAAGAGCAAGACTTTGTCTCAAAATTAATAATAATTAATAATAATAATTGTCTCCAATCTTATCCAGGTCGCTGCAAAGGCCATTAATTCATTCAAGAAAATTTTCTCTTCTTCCTAGTCTCTCAGGAATCATCTGAGGTTATTAGATGTTTCCCCCCCTTGACTTTTATTTAATTCTCCTCTGTAAGTTTATCAAGCAAAATTACTGTGTTTTTTATAACTTTTCATGTTTTTTTAAACAGAAGACAGAACATGACCTACAAAAAATGGAAAGATAATCTGATATTGAAAGCTTGCTTTGTATCCATTCCTCTCTAATATTAATAGCGTGATTGGAGATGAGAATAGCCTGCTATAAATACAGTCCCAGGAGTCCTCATTCAGCTTCAAGTGTGTGTCTGTGCTAATTGTGTGTGGCTGTGTATGTCTTTAGTGGGGAGAGTGATTTCAAAATAATAGTGTTAAACAGAATTGAAAGGAGTCTTGCTAATTCACTGAAACAAGATATGAAATAGCAATAATTTAATATTTTCAACATGGATAAATAATTAAAGTTGCAAAGACCTAGGCATAAGAGAATATAACATACAAATGAGGTAGAGATATCCCTTTGAAGAGTAAAGGAAGGCCGGGCGTGGTGTCTCACACCTGAATCCCAGCACTTTGGGAGGCCGAGGTGGGCGGATCACGAGGTCAGCAGATCGAGACCATCCTGGCTAACATGGTGAAACCTCATCTCTACTAAAAATACAAAACAATTAGCCGGGCGTGGTGGCGGGTGCCTATAGTCCCAGCTACTCAGGAGGCTGAGGCAGGAGAATGGCGTGAACCTGGGAAGCGGAAGTTGCAGTGAGCCGAGATCATGCCACTGCACTCCAGCCTGGGCAATAGAGCGAGATTCTGTCTCAAAAACAAAACAAAAAAAAGAGTAAAGGAACCTGGACTCAATATATCCCAAAAGGTAACTCAGAATACAGAGGTCAGCACGCAAGGCAGCATATGGAAATAAACAAAGGGTGCATTTCAATTCATGGGACACCTTTGGAGCCGATTTATTAAAGTGCAAATAGAAAACATCAGGACAAGGCTGGGCGTGGTGGCTTACGCCTGTAATCCCAGCACTTTGGGAGGCCGAGGCAGAAGGATCATTTGAGGTCAGGAGTTTGAGACCAGCCTGGCCAACATGGTGAAGCCCCATCTCTACCAAAAAAATATAAATCTTAGCAGGGCATGGTAGCGGGCGCCTGTAGTCTCAGCTACTTGGGAGGCTGAGGCAGGAGAATCACTTGAACCCAGGAGACGGAGGTTGTGGTGAACCGACATCACGCCACTGCACTCCAGCCTGGCCGACAGAGTGAGACTCTATCTCAAAACAAAACAAAATGAAACAAAATCTGGGCAGAGGGACTTCTTGTATTTTGAAGCTTCAGCAGCAATGAGGTCACCTTATAGTGCAGCATCTTCTGATACCATCTCCCATCACTTACCTCTTACAGATTTCCCTGCCACGCTGGCTTCCTTGTTGGCCTTGAATACCTGAAATATTTGCACCATTGCACTGGCCATTCCTTCTGCTGGGCACACCCATTCCCAGATATCCTCATGGCTCCTGCCCTGTTTTCCTTGTGGTCTCATTTCTCTTTTAAAAAATTTCAGCCTTTATTATAGATTAAAGGGTACATGTGCAGGTTTGTTACAAGGGTAAATTGTGTGATGCTGAGGCTTTGAGTTCCAACAATCCCATCACTCAGGAGGTAAACATAGGACCCAACAGGTGGTTCTTCAGCTCACATCCCCCTCTCTCCATCCCCTGTCCAGTGGTCTCCAGTGTCAATTTTTCCCATCTTTATGTTCATGTATATTCAATGTTTAGCTTCCCATCTTTATGTTCATGTATATTCATGTTTAGTGAGAACATGCGATATTTGGTTTTCTGTTCTTGCATTAGGTTGCTCAGAATAACGGCCTCTAGCTTCATCCAGGTAGCTGGAAAGGACCTGATTTCATTCTTTTTAATGGCTGCCTAGTATTCCATAGTGTATAAGTACCAGAGTTTCTTTGTCCAATCCACTGTTGATGGGCACCTCTCACCTTGACTGCTAGTATTCTCTGAACACCTAGGAAAATTAACATTCTCTATCCACGCTTTTTTTTATTAGCCCTGGTCACCATCTGACACAGCATATGATTTACTTGTATTCTTCTCCATACTTCACTTTAGGGACTTCTGTTTTTCAGCACTGTTCACTCATTGTCTAGACAGAGACTGGAACATAGACAACACTCAGTTTAAATTCCTCAAATCCATGAAAGAATTTATCATTAAAGTGTTTGTTTTTGTTTTGTTTTGAGACGGAGTTTTGCTCTTGTATTTGCTCTTGTAGCCCAGGCTGGATGGAGTGCAGTGGTGCCATCTTGGCTCCTCGCAACCTCCGCCTCCCAGGTGCCAGAGATTCTCCTGTCTCAACCTCCGGAGTAGCTGGGATTACAGGCATGCACCACCACGTCCGGCTAATTTTGTATTTTTAGTAGAGACGGGGTTTCTCCATGTTGGTCAGGCTGGTCTCGAATTCCCGACCTCAGGTGATCCACCCACCTCTGCCTCCCAAAGTGCTGGGATCACAGGCATGAGCCACTGCACCCGGCAAAGTTTTTAAATACATGATCATTTGGGGAAAGGTTGAGCATCATGGGAAAGGAATTCCTAAGCAGAGATGGGATAGAAGATCTCATAAAGAAGACCAGATCCACACACAAATATAGAAATTAACTTGTTGACTGTAGGATATAAATAATAGCTTTTCTGATGGGTGAATAAAGTATGCTTATGTCAAATATTTTCTCTCTCTCTCTCTTTATTTTTTTTTTTTTGACAGTCACCTCCACTACATGGAACCAGAGAATGATACACGAATTTCAGAATTTCAACTTCTGGGATTTTCAGAAGAACCCAGACTGCAACCATTTCTCTTTGGAGTGTTCTTTTCCATGTACCTCATCACTGTGTTTGGAAACTTGATCATCATCCTGGTTATCATTGAATGCTCCCACCTCCACACCCCCATGTACTTCTTTCTCTCCAACCTGTCCTTTGTAGATATCTGTTTTGCCTCCACCACAGTCCCAAAGATGCTGGTGAATATCCAGGCACAGAGCAAAGTCATCACCTATGCAGGCTGCATCACCCAGATGTACTTTTTCATACATTTTGTAGGATTGGACAGCTTCCTCCTAACTGTGATGGCCTATGACCGGTTTGTGGCCGTCTGTCATCCCCTGCACTACACAGTCATCATGAACCCACAACTCTGTGGATTGCTGGTTCTGGTATCCTGGATCATGAGTGTCTTGCATTCCTTATTACATAGCTTAATGGTGCTGCGGTTGTCCTTATGCAGAGAGTTGGAAATCCCCCACTTTTTCTGTGAACTTAATCAGGTTATCCACCTTGCCTGTTCTGACACTTTTCTTAATGACATAGTGATGTATTTGGCAGCTGTGCTGCTGGGTGGGGGATGTCTCACTGGGATCCTTTACTCTTACTCTAAGATAGTTTCCTCCATACGTGCAATCTCATCAGCTCAAGGGAAGTATAAGGCATTTTCCACCTGTGCATCTCACCTCTCTGTTGTCTCTTTGTTTTATTGTACGAGCCTAGGGGTGTACCTTAGCTCGTCTGCAACCCACAACTCACACTCAAGTGCAACAGCCTCAGTGATGTACACGGTGGTCACCCCCATGCTGAACCCCTTCATCTACAGCCTGAGGAATAAGGACATAAAGAGGGCTCTGAAGAATTCTTTGGGAGGGAAACTAGAAAAGGGCCAGTTGTCCTAGGGCTGAAGGGCTGAAACTATAGCCATGATTGCAGGGCTCAAAGCCTCAGAGCCAGATATTACTGTTATTTAATCAGATCATGGAAGTGGAAATTGCTCTTTCTATTTATTTCCTGAAGTTTCCATTTCTTTTATCTCAACTGCTTCATCAAACTTAAGCAACTCCTATTATTAAGCTTGCTTCTCTCTCTAATATTTAACATATTTCCCCTTTGTTTTCCTCCTTTCTCAAAGTTATTCCCAACCTTGGGTCAGAAACAATTTAGCCTCATAGAGTGATGAGTTGGACTATTCCTATAGAATAAACTACGCTTGGCACTGAGGCCATTGATGTAATTTTATCGGAGAAGAATTTCTGAGGCTATGGTTTTTCACTTTTTGTGTTTGTCATTCATTTCCGTATCACTACCTTAATTGATCTTCCTGGTAATGTAGGCTTTAACGTACTAGTGTATTTGATAGCTGGTTATGGGATTTTACACTCCCATTAGGATCCTGTTCTCTTCTTGAACTCAGTATTCATGGATTCTACTATATTTACTGGCACTGAGTACTTAGTCAAAAGTTGCCCATCAAATAAATGTTCCAAGTGTAGTCTACACAGAAAGACAAATTTGCATAAATCAATTGGCTTTACATGGCCTTAGAGTTAGACATGACCTTAAATATGATAGAGTAAAATTTTCAATTATATACTAAATTTCTATGGAATGTTTGTTTTCAATGATATACATCTACTCACTGAAGTGTGGAAGCTTGTTGTTCATGTGTAATGAGGTTTATTGATCTGAGTGAAAGATTTGGTGTCATGGTCTGTATTATTTTATTGTATCATTTTGCTGTTTCTACTTGAAAATTCTAGTATTACCTACAAATATGACTACTTACATTGTCCAAAAAATATTTCCCCCTTTAACAAATGTAATCATAACACAAACTACAGATGATTGAACAATATGTGTATTTACTTGATCATCAATTCCTTTACTTCTTCTATGATCTAAATTATTTTCAGTCCTCATGATCAAAGATTACTCTGTTTATATCTGGATATTTATATCTTTCCTGAAAGTTGGACAGTTTTCAGTTATTATTTTTTTAGTAAGCTTTCTGTCCGTTTGTTCATTCCTTCTCTTTCTTGATTCCTGTTAACGCAAATATTTACCCTCTTTATGCTGCCCCATAAATCCCATAAGCTTTCTTCACTCCTTTTTATTCTGTTCCTCCTCTGACTGTATGTTTTCTAATAATCTGTCTTCAAGTTCACAGATTATTTCTTCTGCTTTATCAATCCTGCTGTTGACACTCTAGATTGCATTTTTCATTTCATTCATTGTATTTTTCATCTTGAGAATTTCTAGAGTTTTTAATAATTTCAATCTGTTAAATTTCCAATTTTGTTCATTTATTGGCTTTCTGATTTTGTTGAATTGTTTCTCTGTATTTTCTCAAGGTTTGCTGCACTTCCTTAAAACAATTATTTTTGAAATCTTTGTCAGAAAGTTCATATATCTCCATTTCTTTCTTTTTTATTTAAAATAAATAAATAATTGTTTTTTTAAAAAATAAAAATCACAATACAACAATAAAAATAATACAAAATTTTTAAATAAAGTATAACAACTATTTACAGAGCATTTACACTGTATTCAGTATTATAAGTACTCTAGAAATGATTTAAAGTATACAAGAGAATGTGCATAACTGATATGCAAATACTATGCCTTTTTATATAAGGGACTTCAGCATCAGTAGATTTTGTTATCTGCAGGGTGTCCTGAAACCAGTCCCCTGCAGATAATAAGGAATGACTTATTATAGAGAAGACAAATGAGAGATTAACCCAGGAATAAAGCATTGACCAGATGAATGTTGCATCACTTGAACACATGAGCGTTGTAAACCTTAGAGTAGGTCTTCCTATCTGGTGAGAAAGATCTCATCTTGTTGATTATTCCTTCAGGCAGAAAACTGTCACTCAGAGGGGATGCTGTGTCTCACTATTCTTATTTTCTGCAACTGTTTTAATGGTATTTTATTTGGGTTTTAAAAATCAGTCCTAGCCATGCATAGTGGCTCATGCTCATAATGTCAGCATTTTGGGAGGTTGAGGCAGGAGGATCACTTGAGCCCAGGTTGTTCCCAGACCAAAGCAAGTGTCAGGCTGCTTATTTTCATGGCCCATTAACAAGATGCAGATGAACTAAAGAGGAAGAGAGTTTTTATTTCTATAACTGGTTACAGGGAGAAGGCCTGGAAATTATCACCAGATCAACTCAAAAATTTTGCTGTTTTCCAGAGCTTATATACCTTCTAAGCTATATGTCTATGTGTAAGTGTGCGTTCATCTAAAGACATGAGTGATTAACTTCTTTTAATCTATAACTAAAATCTGAGTCCTGAAGACCTTCCTCAGGAGCCTCAGTAAATTTACTTAATCTAAATGGGTCCAAGTGCTGGGATGATTACCCTTATCTTGTCTCCCGATATATCATGGAGGTTGAGGGAGTTCCTTCAGACCTCCAATAAACTTGTTTGTGGAGGCCTGGGGAGTTTCTTCAGATCCCCAATAAAACTTGTTTAATCCTAAATGGGTCCTGTTAAGAATTCCTTCGTTATCTTCTCATGTTTCAGTGCCCAGGAACGGCCTAGGCAAAACTCTGGGTAGGCTTTTTTTTTTTTTTTTCAACATTCCAGCCTTTGTATAAAGGCACGGGCTGTATCAGTTTTTAATATTTAACTTAACCACTCAGTCAATGCTGACACAGTTGTTACAGAGGCCTGCATTAGTGGGACCTGGCCTGCCACAAGGTGTTTGAGACCAGCCTGGCCAACATAGCAAGATCCCATCTCTAAAAAAAAAAAAAAAAGTCCTTTGTGAATTGTTAAAGATGATCTATATTCTCTGGAATGGAATAACAAGAAGCATCCAATGGACTTGTTTTGAACCTGTAAAAGTGTAGATACCTGCAGGGTCCTGCCTGGACAGCCAGGCAAGCCACCTCTCATCTTGCTTCTCTTTGCATGCCTGGAAATTTCTCTATA